CCGTAGCTAGGGCAGAGGCAGTAGGCAGGGGCTGCTCCTGGGGAGATTCCCAGGGTTTCCATGAAGACCCCTGCTCAGACATGCTGGGGTCAGGTGGAGGGGCCCGTTGCACTGCCGGGCGGTGGAAGATGCTTGGGGTGAGGCAGCTCTTGCTCTCCCACGCCCCTGGGACTGCATAGTGCGGTGTCCTTCCACACCCCCCCACCATGCCTGTTCTTTCTTTCCCATGCAAGGGGCGTCATTAACCCGGTGGGTGGCACCAAGAATGCCCGGACAGCCCCGCTGCAGTGCGTCTCCGTGGCAGAAGGACACACCAAGCCTGTGCTCTGCCTGGATGCCACCGATGAGCTGCTTTTCACTGGGTCCAAAGGTGCGTGATGAACAGAGATGGGGGCGCTGGCCTGCAGATGTTGTGGAGCAGGTTGGCATGGGGGAATACGTGAAGTGCCGGACACCGTGGGGTTGGTTCCTCCTGGGCCTCTCTCGTGTCCTCAGCGTTGAGCCTTGCCCTGCACTGCCCCAGTTCTGGGGCTGGTTGGCTCCTTTCCTCTGGCCCTGTGGGTGGGGGGAGGCAATGCTCAGAAGGGGGATTGCCCCCCCGCCACCGTGCCCTTGGAGGGACCCCTCCTAGCCTGACACTCTTGGGCACGTTTCTCGTCCTGCAGACCGGAGCTGCAAAATGTGGAACCTAGTGACGGGCCAAGAAATTGCTTCCCTCAAGGGTCACCCAAACAACGTGGTTTCCATCAAGTACTGCAGCCACACGGGACTGGTGTTCACCGTGTCCACGTCGTACATCAAAGTGTGGGACATCCGGGACTCGGCCCGGTGCATCCGCACCCTCACGTACGTGGCAGGCGGGAAGAGCTGGGGGACCCCGGGCACCCTGGGCATCTCTGGCTTTGCAAAAGCCAGTCCCAGGACATACTGGGGCAGGACCAGGTGCCAGCTACTGTAGTGCCAGTTTGCAGTGCTGCATCCTTAGGGAACAGAGGTTGGGAGAGAGCTTGGGGTGAGGGGACCCGTGGGGACCTCCTGCAGTGAACGCTCAGGGTAAAGAGATTTGAAGAAATTTGAATCTGGGGATGGCCAAGAGAGCCAGCAGCTCTGTGGAGGAGGCATGGCCCCTGCCAGCATCACGGCGGAGTTACAGGCTCGACAGTGGGAAACACAGATCTTTATGAGAGGTCTGAGGACCAGAAAAGAGCATGGACAGGCTGTAGCTGTGTCTGCCAGCCTGGAGCGGGGCACAAATGTTAGGAGAGAACGGCAGGACAGGGTTACCAGCCTGATCCGGTGGAGAGGTCATTTCTCCACCCTCAGCTCACCTACCTTGGCCTGAAGGTGCTTCTGCCTCGCTGCACAGGCCAAGGGCCGCTGCTTCCCCGTGCTGGCTGCCAGCACAAACCAGCTCTTCCTGCGGGAAGCAAGGGGGAATGGGAGGGCAGAAGGGCAGCCCCCAGGTGGAAACCAGGGCAGGGTGCTCCGTCTCATCTGCACCCCCAACATCCTTGGCTCCCTTTGCCAGCAGGGCACCGGCCTAGGGGACAGAGATCTTGCTGATCCCATTGTGGCCAGAGAGATGGTGATGCCCGCCCATCCCCCCCCCCACTCCCCCAGGTCTTCTGGGCAGGTGATCTCCGGGGACGCGTGTGCCGGGACCACCACCCGCACTGTCACCAGCGTGCAGGGCGAGCACCAGATCAACCAGATCGCTCTCAACCCCACTGGCACCACGCTCTACGCTGCCACTGGGAACTCCGTCCGCATCTGGGAGCTGAGCAGGTGAGGGGCAGCGCTGGGGCGCGTGGGGCAGCTTATGGGCACTGTCTGTGCAGAGGGGCCTGAAGCGGCTCCCCCCCGGGAAAGTGAAAGCCTTTTTAGCCACAGAAGGTTCCTGGACTTTCAGGACCCTTCCCTATGTGGCCCGGGGGGTGATGAGCAGCAGTTGGGGCTGCTTGGAGTGGGGGTTTTGTCTGTGAGCTGGGCAGAGCTTAGGAGAAGGGCAAAGGCACGTGGGGTGAGCAGCAGTACCCCCCTGCTTTTGCGCCTGCCCCCCTCCCGGCCAGGTGGGCACTGGTCCCCTGCCCCCTTGCTTGGCTCTGCAGCCGGGTGTTGGTGTCCCCCAGGGCTGCCTTCCTCCCCCGGCGTCACTGGGAAGAGGGGTGTCTCTGCTCGCAGTCCCCCAGAGGGAACAACACCCCCCCGGGGGGCTCCAGGGCTCTGGGGGTCTCTGTCTGGGAGAGCCCCCGGGAGCAGCTTCGGCCCCGGGAAGGGGTGGCTGACCCGTGCTACTGAACTCAGGTTGCAGCCCATCGGGAAGCTGAGCGGCCACATCGGGCCTGTGATGTGTCTCACGGTAAACCAGACGGCGAGCAACCATGACCTGGTGGTCACAGGCTCCAAAGATCACTATGTCAAGGTATGTCCTCCTTGGAGAGGGTGTCCCCAACTTGGGCCCTGTGTCCCATAGGGAAGCCCAGGTGTTGGCAGCTCCTAAGGTCTCTTCTCTCCTCCTGAAATCAGAGCCCAGATTCTGTTTTCACCTCTGCATGTGAGCTTTTTGCATATCTCCTCAACCCAAGTCTTGCCTTTTGCTTGGTCCAAAACACAAATGCACCCTTGGAGATGGGTTTGCATTTCTCTCATCCCTCGGGCTCTGTAGCTGGGTCTTGTACATTAAGGCTGACCCAGATTAGCAGCTCGCCCCATTCTGCTCAGTTCTCCTCCCCGACACAGACGCTTTGCGCCTGCTCATGCAGGGTTCCAGCACAGCAAGAGCTTGCCTCTCCCTTCCAGGGTTTTGCTGGTTTGTAGCAGGTTGAGTTGGAGCTGGCACCAGGGGAGTGAAGGGGGACTGCGAGGTGGTGAGGGAGGCAGAAACCCACTCTGCTGACTGCTGTAAGCTCTTGGCTGGGCTCATGAGGGGGTGTGAAAGCTCACCATGAGTAACGTGCAGCAGAGTGGGGGCTCCCCAGCAGTGGCAGGACCCCTGGAGACCTCAGCCCCAAAAAAGCCTCCCTCTGGCCAATGCCCACTCCCCGTTCCAGCATCACTGTGGGTGCCCTGAGCCTGGAAAACAGAGAGTGATGGCCAAGTTCTCCAGGAGAAGGTCAGCTCTGTTTCCAGTGCCGTCTGGAGTCATTCACCCACTGTTTTTTCCCCCAGGTCTTTGAGATTGCTGAGGGCACGGTGGGCAATATTGGCCCCACTCACAACTTTGAGCCCCCTCACTATGACGGCATCGAGTGCCTGGCCATCCAGGGAGACGTCCTCTTCAGCGGCTCCAGGGACAACGGCATAAAGAAATGGGATCTGGAGCAGCAGGAACTTATCCAGGTCTGGAGGGGAGCGTGCAGCACAGGTCCTCGGGGTGACGTGGGGCTGGGGGCCTGGTGGGACCTTTGTTCAAGGACCTGGTGCCAGTCTCCAGCACCAAGCTGGCCAGGGAGGGCGCTCCCATTCCTGGGAAGCTGGCAGTGCATGTGCGGGGCAGCTCTGCACCCCTGTAAGTTCGTGGTGCTCAGGGTTGCCAGCTCCCCCTGGCACCCAGGCTGCAGCATCAAGCACAGTGCTGGGTGTTGTGTTCCTCGCTGAATTCAGGATTGTTGTCTCCTGCCCAGGGGACAAACCAAGCCCTGACTTTTGAATCTGTCCCCTTGGTCCCTTAACTTTGCATCACCAGCCCCACAACCCAGATCAGCCCTGGGGCAACAGTGAGGATCTGAGCCTCCCAGGTTGGGTGCATGAGGCTGCTGGTGGTGCTGCAGCTGAGGTTGGTCATGATCTCCGCTCTGTGTCCCTACCTACAGCAAATCCCCAATGCCCACAAAGACTGGGTCTGTGCCCTGGCCTTCATCCCCGGCCGCCCCATGGTGCTGAGTGCCTGCCGAGGAGGCATGATCAAAGTCTGGAACGTGGACACCTTCACCCCGGTTGGGGAGATCAAAGGGCACGACAGCCCCATCAACGCCATCTGCACCAACTCAAAGCACATCTTCACCGCCTCCAGGTGAGCCCCCGGCTTTCTGCTCCCCAGAGCCCCGGGAGGTGGGAGGCCCCTGGGTTGAGCTGTCGTCCCCGGGCTGGGTGGGTTTGCGCTGAGTGGACGGGGAGCAGGGTGGGGGGGAAGGGGGAGTCTCGCAGCTTTCTAGTCCTCCACTCCTTCCCCCACGCAGGGACCCCTCTCCCCCGGGGCTGGGCATCCTCGGCTGCTCTTGGGGAGCTCTTTGGCAGCAAGACTCTGATGTCCTCTTTTCGACCATGTCCCTTTTCTCCCTTCCTTTTTCTCTGTCTCTCTCTGCCTCTCCTCCTCCCCACCTCCCATCTGTGCCACAGTGACTGCCGGGTAAAGTTATGGAATTACGTGCCTGGGCTCACCCCTTGCCTTCCACGACGCGTCCTTGCCATAAAGGGCCGTGCTACTAGTCTGCCTTGACCCTCCTGCTCTCTCTGACTCTCGCTCATGCACTCTTCTTCTGCCTTTTCTTGCCTTTTCTCTTTCTCTCCATCTCTTTCTCCCTCTGTCTTTCTCTCTGTCGCTTGCTTTTGCTCCTCTCCCTCTCTCTCTTTCTTTCTCTCTGGTCTGAGCTGCTTCTTCACGGTATGAAACTATTTTGCGTTTTCCCCCACTTGATAAATCTTGGCTAGCAGTGACTTGCCCCTTAGTCCCAGCCATACCCCTGCATTGGTTTGTTTGCTTTTTTGTTGGTTTTTTTTTTTTTTTCCTGGCCGAGTGCCCACATCTACTGTGGCAGCTCTGTGGAAGCTGTGGCTTGCGTGGGTGGTGGGCTCCCTGCGCTGCCACCACTTTGGCCTGGTCAGAGCTCGTTCAGGGGGTGCAGGCGTCCTGCTGTCGGGGTCAGCCCTGGAGGTCCCCAATTCCCTTTGTCCTCAGTTGCTGCCAGCGGGGTGAGCTGGAGGCTGAGCCCCACTGGGCCTGCCTGCTCCCCAAAACAGATTGGGCAACCTCCTGCCAAGAGACAAGAGCCTGGAAGCCTGGTGGGCTGCATGCTGCCATGGGCTGGGGGTGGGCAGCGTCGCTCCGCAGTGCCTCTCCGCAGCGGCCGCAGGCTCCTGCGGAAGCCCCGGGGTCACGCCGTCCCTCTCACCTTTGTTTCTCAGCGACTTGACAGTGAAGCTCTGGAGCGGGAGGAGGTTACCCACGGGGTCGAACTAGGAACTGCACGACTGGAAGATGTGACAGGAGGGTGAAGGTTGGGGCACCTCTGCCTTGCAGTCAAGACCCTGTCACCTACAGGAGCTCAGCCCAGGGACAGGGATTTCTTTGTGCCTGACCCAACGGGGTGGACCATGTCCCACCTGGTACTTGGAGCACTGCCAGCTTCTGCGAGGAGGCAGCTCTGTGGGGCACCGTCAGCTCCACCTTCCCTCCCGCTGAGGTTTCTTGATGGTTTTCCAGTGACCGGGAAATGTTTTGTTTCCCTTCTCACCCACCCTGCTGCAACACCTGCCAGGACTTCTGGGGCTCAGGGCTCCTTGGCTCCTTCTCAGAGACACCCAATTCCCTCCTGCCACCATGGGCTCCACTGTGACGTGCTGCTTCTGTCCCTCTTGGCTCCGGGGCTGGATCCTGCAGGAGTCTTTCTCCACTCCACGGCTATGAGGACATTTGGTGTCTGCTGGCCAGGACCACAGCACAGAGGGGCTACTTCTATGGAGACATTACTCGTGGGACAACCTCTCTGCTGGGAGCGGGCTGCAGAAGGATTTCCAGGTAGTCCCATCATTCCCCATCCTCTGTCTACCCGTCCCCAGGCATTGGAGGTGGGCGTCTCTAAGCTCCTTTGCCATGTCCCAGCCATGGAGGCAGGGCAAGCCTGGGAAGATCTCCATCAGGCAACTTCCAGACAAACCTTCTGCAGTTCCCTTCAACGTTCTCCAAACCCCAGTTGTAAACTCAGCTGACCCATGGCTCTTGGGCTCTTCCACGTGTGCCCACCCTGTTCTGCACTGGGGAGGGGCTGCTTAGCCCTGCTCTTGATGCCTTGGCCCTCAGCAGGGCTTTTGTGGTGGGTTCCTGCAGCATGTTAACCCCCTTGAGATGGAGAAATGAAGCAAGAGTGGAGGTTCCAGGGCAAAGAAGCCAAGGCTGGATTTGTCACCCCCACCCCTGTGGCCCATCTTGTTTTGCCATCACTGGGAGCTGGAAGCTGTAACTCCTTCCCCCAGGCTCTGCTCTGAGCCCTCTACCAGGGAGAGGGCTGGTGGAGCTCAGGTTTGGCCCATCAGCCCCCATGGATCCAGGAGCCACAGGGGGCCTGGTTGAGGCATGGAGCAGCTGGAGTTCAGGCCAGGATGGAATCAACCATGCTGGGAGCGGGGTGAGGAGGGGGTTGCACACACCGGTTTCGCACAAGTCCCCCGATTCACCCCACGCTTGAAGGACAATGCTGCAGTGGATGATCTTGCACAATCCAACCTCCACGAAAGGCTGGGGGCTCTGACCAGAAGTGTGTCCCCAAGGACACAGCTTCTCCAGGTTCCCTCCTCCCTCTCTCCCGCGCTGGGGCTAGCAAGGCCCTAGCCTCACATGGGAGCTTTTCTCCATCTCTCCCTTGGCTCGTTGGGCCATCCCCTGCTCCATCCTGGCCTGGGCCAGGCAGAGCTTGTGGGGTGGCCAAGGAGACCCCAGGAGCAGTGCTCTCACCTCACGTGCTCTCACTTCCTCTCTATCGCAGAAGAAGCAGCGTCTGAACTCAATTTGTAAGGATTTTTCCGTGTGATCCCACCAGCACTGAACTGCAACCTCAGAGGCCAGGGGCGCCAGGACCTGCCCCGTAAAGCACAGACCATTTCCCCTCTGCTTTGTCCAACCATGGTAACTCATGGACCAGCCCCGGGTCATTTGCCCCCAGCCCTCGTTAAAACCATTCCAGGTGGAGCACGGGAATTCCTCTGCAGCTTGAAAGGCAGGAGAATCTCTGTTGATTTGATGGGGGTTGTTCTTCGCCTCTTGACCCATCCTGCTGCCTTGCCTTGGTGGGTGTGAACCTGCCCAGGACAGTGACCGGTCCCTGGTGATGGTGCCTCAGCCCCGCAGAGCCCAGGCCTGGTGGTGGCCTCGAGGCGAGGAGCCCTGCCCAGCTGGCGAAGTGGTGCCGGCGCCAGCAGCTGTGGGCTCTGCTGGACTGGAGGGGGGCAACCGAAAATGCACAGAGCATCAGGGCCAGCACAGATGGGGGGGCTGGAGGAGGTGTTGCCCCCCAAGCCTGTCTTGGAGAGGATTTCCCTGCTCATTCCTGAGCCGGTTTAACCTTGGCTTTGCCAGAGGGGGGGATGTGCTTGGCTGCCATGTGCATTGGCGTCTGCACCAAGAGCTGCCGGTGCCTGACCTGAGCCTCTCACTGCTCCCTGCCGAAGGCGGGGAGGGACCTGCTCCTGGGGGCTTGGGCTGAAGCCCTGCCTTGCCTTTTGCCACCAAATCCTTCCTGTGCGTGGGCTGCGAGTGCCGATCCTGGGTGATGCTGAGCATCCACCTCGCTGCTATGTCCAGCGGCACCTCAAGGGGGCTTCAGGGCTTTGGCACCCTGCGGGTGGAGGGAGCCGCCTTCCGGCACAGCAGCAAGGTCTCTGCCCCTGCGGAGAGGGGGGCTTTGAAGCGAGGGATGGCTCTGATCCCATAGCTCTGTGTGTGTGTGTGTGTGTGTGCGTGTGTGTGTGTGTCTATGTCTTAGTGCCTGCGTGGGTTGGTATTGCCCACGCAGGAGAGTGTTTCTCGGGTGTTGATCTGGTTTAGCTACCTCACGGTGCAAGCTGGGTGCTGTCGTCACTGGGTTTTGTCTTGGGGATGGAGTAGGAGTTTGTGGTTTTAGTTTTTTCCTAATTATTGTTATTATTATGGTTTTGACACTTGAATTCGTCCTGGGGATCTTAGTGCCTGCGTGGGTTGGTATTGCCCACGCAGGAGAGTGTTTCTCGGGTGTTGATCTGGTTTAGCTACCTCACGGTGCAAGCTGGGTGCTGTCGTCACTGGGTTTTGTCTTGGGGATGGAGTAGGAGTTTGTGGTTTTAGTTTTTTCCTAATTATTGTTATTATTATGGTTTTGACACTTGAATTCGTCCTGGGGACACGTGGCCTCACCCCCACCTCGCTGCATGTCTGAGCCGCCCCTCGTGTCCCCCCCAGCCTCCTGGGCAGCGCAGCGGAGCCCCCAGCTGAGCCGCAACAGTGAGATTTTGCCCCCGTTGCTGGTCTGATGCTGGGACCAAGGCTGGGCTTGTTGCCGTTAGGTCTCGGGCTGATTTGCAGCCTGGAAGTCCCTCTTGTCCCTCAGAAGGAGGGGACCTCTGGCAGGCTCAGCCCTGCCAGCGTTCCTGCCTCTGCTCTCCCAGACATTCCCTGTGGATGCAATGACGCCCTTTTTGCCTGGGGAATGTCCTTGCAAAGCTCCTCGCTGGAATGGGCTGGTCCTAGTCCCTCTTTTCCAGAGCCTGCTGTACGTTGGTGGCAGCCCAGCGCAGCAGCCCCGCGCCTCTGTCCGGGGAGGGGTCTGTGAGAGAAGCTGGTTCTCGCATGTGATGGTTGATTTTTCATCCCCAAATAGTTGAATCTAGATCCTGTCCCAGGCACTGAAAGTAAACCAGGGTAACCCTGGAGCCCCCCCATCCCCCCCTACTCGGGGCTGGGGAGCCAAGGCCGGGCCGTGCCCCCCTCCCCTGGCACGACGGGGGTTGGGAAGGGGCTCGGAGCTCCGAGCCACGCTGCCACTTTGCGGGGGCAGGTTCCCTCAAACACTAAAGCACAAGGTCCCAGCTTGCGGAGGGGGAGCAAGGGTGGCCCCTTGGGCGCTGATCCTTCAGAGCACGGCCTGGGGGGCTTGGACAGCCAAGGCGGAGGTGGGGGCTGCTGGCCTGCCGGAGGAAGCTGTTTCATCCTTTTGCACTGTGCTGGGGTGCTCCCCTGGGGCTTGGGGCTGGCACTGCTGCCCCGCTGCTGTCCCTTCTGCTGGTCCCTGAGCCCCTCCGCCAGTCCCTCCATCGCAGGGACGCTTTGGAGCTGCCTTCGCACCATGCACCTCGTTTTGCTTCGCCCTTGGGTGCCTTGGTTTGTGCCAAGGGTGTGACTGATACCTGCAGTCCAGGGAGTCCTTCCCTGCCTCAAATCTCTGGGTGATGCTTTTGTCCCCGGGCCTTGACTCTTGCTCTGGGGGTCTCCTGCCCCCAGCAGCCCGGGGCCAGCTCCAGCCCCTGCGGAGGGTGTAGTGCTGGCCCCGAGCTGAGCTTTGCACACAAGGGGTGGAGATGACCCGGGAGCCTGAAAGCACTGGGCCCCCAAACCACTGTGAGGGGCACCCCCCCCCTTCTCTGGCACCCCCAGCTCTTATGGCACAAGAGGACAGGCCCGCGGGGTGCACCCCTCAGCCTGGCCAGCACCGGGGTCCTGTTCCCCCTCTGAGCATAGCTGCTTTGGGGTCTTGGGTGCTGCCTCCTGCCTTGGTGCTGCAGAACCAGTGCCTGCTCCCCAGGGTGCTCTCCCAGTGCCCCTGTCCCAGCCCTTCCCCTATCCCATGCTGGATGGGGTCCAGGTACGAGCCCCGCAGGGCTCCCGCTTGCTTGTCAGCGAGCTCACCGGAGCTTTGCTCTGTCCTGCAGGCTGCACGCCCGCCCCGCGCCCCCTTCAACCTCCTGGGAAGGGAGGGGAACCCCTGGCCCCTCCACGCGCTGCTGGGTGCTCCAGCTGTAACTGGGAGGGAGCCCAGCACAGCCCCGACCCCCCAGGCCCTGGCCTGGCCTCCTGCGCCTCCCCCCAAGAAAAGCACAGCCCTGCGCCTTCCCGCTGCCCCCGGGCCTTACCCCCTCCTCCATAGCAGCTCTGCCCCGGTACCTGCGGGCTGTTCCGCATCCCCCACTGGGACCACCCAGTACCCCCCAGTCCAGCCCTGTGGCAGGGCTTGGGCGGCTGCAGCGTCGCGGCGCCTGCTCCGTCCCCCATTCCCGCAGCACAAGCATCGCACACAGCGGGTGCCTTTTCTTGCTTGGAGCTGTTTTCCAGAGGCCAACTCCTGCAAGGGTTTTTTTTCCTGCTGGGTTGTGCGGCCCAGCCCAGCGGCCTGGGTTTGTCGGAGGACAAGGCGTGTACATATATTTTATACCTCGCTGTGTTCCTGTAAATAGTGTAAGTTATTTCGGGCTCATGATGTACATGTTTTTTCAATGGCTGTGTTTGTTCCTTGCCTTTTTGTCTTCACAAATAAAATGTGCTGAAATGAAGTGACCGAGCAGGGGGGGCTGGGG